ATATATATATATATATATATATATATATATAACAATCAAATTAAAAAAGAGAGGTCTTAAGAAGATTTTTCTTTTCAAATGTTTAATTATTAGAATTTTGAAATATTTAATTAGTTTCATCTAATTATATTATTTCATATGTCGTATATAACAACTCCCGCCACTTTTTAAAATTATTTCAAATTTGTATTTTCAATCACTTTTCAAAACTATTTTAAATTTTAAAAATTATTATTTTGACAGGTAATTGTTCGGTAACATTAAAATTAGAGATGGTTAGGGATAGGGTGAAGGTGGATAGGGATTGCAAATTCCATGCACCGCACGGGGGTGGATGCCGGTAATAAAATAATGAAAAATAGTATAATAAAAAAAATTTACACGTCTTCTAGTTTTATTAGATAAAAGTAAAGGTATATATCAAAAAAATTATCTTTCGAGTACCGCAACCCGACCCATGTGGGCATATGGATGCACTTGATTGTATGTCTCATCAACATGTGAGGTGGAAATGTTGCTAGGAAAAGATGAGGAAATGTTGAGGACTTGATATACTTTCTAAGACAACTTTCTTTAAGATTTTGGAAGAACAGGTAGTATGATTTCTATAATAATTATGTGCTAGCTTAAATTTGATTTCTTCTTCCTATGATTTTTCTATAATAATTATGTGCTAGCTTAAATTTGATTCTTCTTAAATGTAGTATGATTTTTTTTTTTTCCAGATGGCGGGAATTCGGCAATTCGAACTAGGAGAGGGATTGGATGCGTCTGGTGTCACTACCGAAATTCTTACCTGCAACTGTTCCATGGAACTAGTTTTAGATAACAAGTCTAAGGTCTTTGGCCTCTACATTCACTCTCCAGTCATGGCAATGTCCTTTGGACATCTCCCTTTCGCAATTTCAACTGTAAGTATTATACATTTGTGTTATTTCTTTGTAACTTGTTTCATTTCATTATGTGCATGGGTTTTTTCTCCGTTCTTAGATTTTTAAACCTATAATTTCAATGTTTTACGATGATAGTGTGTACATTAAATTTTGCACATATGTAGTTTAAGTTAGTGACACTTTACCTTCTTCTATTTTAGAAATCTACACTTCATCACCTAAAGCTCAAGACTAGATGACTAACAATTTAGTGTAAAACGATAATAATACCCTTCATGTTTTTTTTAGTTTTCTAGCATCATCTTCTTCAAATTTTACGCAAATTGAAAAATCCCCTTAATGCAGAAAAAGGAAAGAGAAAGAGAGGTACTGATTTATTCCCCAAAAAAACAAAAAAGAAATATAATATGTAATAGCTAGCGTGTAAGAGTCATTCTGCCAACTATGATATTAAAAATATGAACTTTTTGGCTTACAAATTTTATTTTTCCCGAAATTCGCAACAATTTTACTTTGATCCAAACCATAGAGGGTCATGCAGGTTTCTAAAATGTAGCTTAGTAATGGTTTTTTGTATCATACTACAAGAAGATAATTTAGGATTCGCCTTAAATATTTGCTTCTAACCTCAACCATGCAGGGTCCAGAACTATATGCAGGCAGTGATACTTCAACATCGTTCCAATTATCCGTGGGAACGAGGAATAAGCCGATGTATGGTGCAGGGAGAAGCATGCAGGACTTGCTCGAATCGGGGAAGGGATTGCCGTTGGTCATCCATGTGAGCCTGAGGTCGCGTTTTCGTATGGTGTGGAAACTCATTAATCCAAAGTTCGAGCACCAAGCTCAGTGTTTCTTAGTCCTCAGCCATGCATATGACAAGAAACACAGAACTCAAGCATATAATAGCAGTTGTATTGTAACTTCTTGATTCTTGACAGTTCATATTGTGTGAAAAGAGAAGATATGAACTTACTAAATGTTAGTAATATATCAACATTGTTTGGAGATCAAGAGAGAAATGAAGCAAAAATCTATAATAATATCGTTTCAGAAAATTCTAAATAACTCAAGATGTCTTCCCATAAATGTTTTCATTTTTTGAATTTAGTTGTTTTTTGGGCAATTTGTGATATGAGAGGAGGTGATGATGTGTATAACACAATTGAGCAGAACAGTGAATGTAAGGCGTACAAAACGATTCAGTCTGAGCTTCAAGACTCTTGAGAACTTAAATTTTGAAGAATGAGGTCAATTACACAGAAGAGTTATAGTGGTTCATCAGCTCAAAAGCACGGTTAATCCATTCTTCAATGGAGTCTCTTGCTCTTGAGGGATATATTTATAAAAAGTGGAAGTTACACCATAGTTCGATAAAGCTCTTATTGTATGTCCCTTAGTGTAAAACTCGCAAAAATTTAAACTTTTGTAAACAAGGGCAAAACGATAATTTGTCGCTATAGTGCGGGTTGAAAATCTGAATTTTTCTAGATCTTAGATGAGGAGACGGATCTCACCGTTGGATTCGTCTTACGAAATCTAGTTATTCCGTCAAATTTCATCGAATTTCGAGATAGTCAGAATTTTTCACGTTTTACGAGACAGTCAAGTCTCGGGTGACCTAAAAATGAGATTTTTAATAAAATTTTGAAAGTTAAAAAATAATTTCAAGCAAATTAAAATAAAAAAAATAAATTGAACTTAAACCGGGATGAAATTTAATCGTTTCGGGATGAAAATGTATCCGAAAAAATAGGGTCGTGTGGCGCGTTATGGGCAAAGTATTCTAAGAGTATAAATAGGAGAAAAATCAGATTTTTCCTCTATTCTTTAGCCGGTTTCGACGTGAGAAAAGAAGAGAGGGAAAAGACTTGAGTTCTCCACCTTCCCTCTACGATCTAGAAAGCTTGAGTGCTCAAATCCACTCGGGCCAAGAGTTAAAGTCGGTCTCCTTGTTGAAGGCTACGCCTACATACCAAAAACGAGATTTTTCACCAAAGGTTTGAAAGACGAGATTTTGAAGGGGCTTGGTTTAGAGCTTGGGCTAAATTCTTGGAGCTTCTTGAAATTGATTTCACACTTTAAGAGGTAGGGTTCCTTTCTACTTAGGTTTATTTATAACATATGTTATTTATATGTAATGGGTAGGTTGATAGAAATATGTATCACTTGCCTATGTTGTGAAATTAATGAAATGAGTTAAAACAGATTCCTATGTTGGAATTGATATGTGGTAATTACTTGTGCAATTCCATGGAACTTGATATTGTGTGGGCATACTATGTGCTTTAATTATGCCTTCGTGAATTAAATGTGTTATTGACATATATAAAATAACATGCTTAAGGATTATGGTTGGATATGAACATGTTGATATATGTTCTTTCATATATTAACATTGAGATGAAATTTGGCTATTATATGCATATGATATGAATGACCATGAAATATGAAAATATATATTAAAGTTGCTCATATGACATTTATTACATATGAGTATGACATTGAAATAACAATGGTACATTACATTGTATATGCATGGAGACATTGAAATTTTTTTTTGGGTGTGGGTGCATGGTTTGGGTCAAATACCATCCTCGGTGGATGACAAGAGGGTTTAGTACTGTTGGACCAAGGTTCAACAGAGTTTCATGGTTGCATAGAAAAGAACACTTGTGTTGGGTATAGCAAGAAGGGCTAGACACGTCATCGAATGCAAGGCCCGGTTACTGGTTCTTACACTCCGTCAGTGCAATTTCAAAAAGTGTAATGGCGTACGGAGTCAATCGGTGTAATTCCGAAGTCCGATACCCAACAAAGACACATGATTTTGTAATACAAATTTTTCATTTGATGGAAAACATCCATGAATGAAATGGTTTCATAAACATATAGTTGGTATTTCAAAAATGATCATTGGATATATTTCATCAATGATAAAGATTTTACACTTGCTTTGCATAGTGTGGTGAGAGTTGGTGAGGGCTTGGGTTGATGTGTGTGAGTGAATCTCATTTCATTCATGGCATGACATGGTAGATTCCAACATGAATCATGTATATTCTTGATTGGAATGATTATATGATTGTGAATGTTGTATATGAACATTGCATATGCATTTAGGTAAGGGAGTAGTCTCGCATTCGGGTCCTTAACGATGAAAAAAAGCCGACTTGTAACTTTTGTGGCATATTTTGTGTAAGTTTTGTTGGAACAAGTTTTAACATGTAAAAATTATGCAAATGCATGTAATAGGACTTGTTTGGATCCTGTATAATGTAGAAATTGTCATTATCCATGTTTGGAATGAGTTTAAAAAGGTTTTAGATGAATTGAAAATGAAAATTTGATGAAGCATGAAATTCTGGGCAAAACCTTCCGGAAGGTCACAACAACCTTCCAGAAGGTTAGTGTAAATTTTTTGTCCAGTAGGTAAAACCTATCGGAAGGTCCACAAAATCTTCCAGAAGGTTCATGTAATTTTTAATCCAGTGGGCAAAACCTTCTAAAAGGTCGCAACAAACCTTCCGTAATGTTTGGACAGACAAGGAAAAGTTGTCGAATAGTGGGTGAAACCTTCCGGAAGGTCCATTCTAACCTTTCGGAAGGTCATCACATTTTTTTAATAAGAGGGAATCCAGTGTGTAACTTCTTCCGAAAGGTTTAACACACCTGCCGGAAGGTCGATACATCTTTCTTAAAGATAAGGTTCCAATATGCTCGGTCTTCCGGAAGGTTTATGAAAATCTACCGGAAGGTTTTTCAAAAATTTGAAATTTTAAGAATGCATTGCCATGTTTTTGAGCTATGTGTTATTTGTTTCCAATGACAAAAATGGACCTTAAATGAGATACATTGAAGTATGTTGAACCTCGAAAGGATTAAATTATTAAAGAAAACACGATCCTCATGTGGGTTATAATCCCGGTTATAGGGATGTGTTAGACGTGATGTCAGGTGATGTGATAGTCACAGGTATTTTCGCAGGTTCACGAGTGGTCAACGGAACCCTCAATTTTAGGGGCGTCACAGCTTGGTATCAGAGCTTAGGTCATAGATTTTATATTGGCCTTGTGGGATATTAGTTTATCATCTTCCATTGCATGGGTGAAAGAGGTTGAGAGCCCATGGTGTAACTTAGACTTTGATACCAGTCACAGCTTGGTATCAGAGTATAGGTATATGAATTACCTAGGGCTTGATGGGCATTGGGACTAGACCATTGCATTCATGTTATGTGTTTAATTGCTACATGTTATGTAGCACATGCTATGTGAAATATATACATGGTCAAATGTATATGAAAAAGGGAAACACTAGGGTTAGAAAACATAACCTTAGGTTTCAAAAAAAAGGGATGAACGGTGTAGTTCATGGTGTAAAAGCCTACTAGTATGGGGTATACACACTACTAAAGAGACAAGGATAAAAAAAAAATCTCTCCAAGTTTAAACTTGATTCCCTATCTTGGGGTACTATGTGAGTGTTTGATTGCTATTTGACATGTGTGTAGATGGCAAATCAAGGAAGAGGACGCCGAGACGGTGGATGAAACAACCCACCACCACCGACCTTACACCAACAAGCCATTATAGAGGCTATAGGTACGATGGCTGCTAACTTAGCACAAGTAAACGCCAATATGAGCCAAGGGGCTCAAGCCATCCAAAGGAGTTTAAGTTCCATGAGCCACAAACGTTCATGGAAAAAGAGGAAGTCAACTTACCAGGCAGGTCAGAGGACTTGCTATTGTTGCCACCAAACGAGCCATGTGAGGAAGAATTGTCTCCTGAGGCAAAGCTCATAGAGTTTCGAGACGTCTCAATCCCAGTCGTCAATGGGACTCACACAAGCACACATTGTTCCTCCCTGTCCCATTTTGGACCAAGAAGATCTGTTCCAACTACAAGGTGTTGTCTAAGGCCCTAGTACCTTACGTGCGGAGACTCCGCAAGCAGGCCGGATGAGCCAGGATGTGGGCCAAGGCCAGGGTCAATCCTCCTAAGGCAGGAGAAACTTCAGGACTTCCAACCAAACAGGTTAGAGAGCTTGCTATTATTGCCACCAGCCGGGTCATAAGAGGCGGAATTGCCTTCAGAGGCATGAATCCCGGAGTTCTCGGACATCTCAGTCCCAATCGTCGGTTGGGCAGCCACAAACACACTATATTCCTCCCTACCTCACTATGGGCCAGGGCATGGGTCAAGGCCGAGGGCAAGACTTACAGACTGGGACTTTAGGGACCCAAGAGAGTATTTATGCCATCACGCCTCATAATGAACTGATGGATCAGTCGGTAGCCCATAGTACATTTCTTACTTCTCGGATTATATGCATGTGTCATTTGATTATGGCATGCCATATACTGTTATTGTCACATTTCGTTGATAAAATAGATTTAGAAATCACGACCCTACAAGAGTCTTTAGGGGGAAAAGTCAACTTTAGGAGCTAGGTAAGGGTTGCATTGATCAGATATGTCGAGGGATGTGAGTTAGAGATCTCGGGGGTCTGACTCACCGTGGACCTTAGGGTCATGGACATGTCGGAGTTTGATGTAATCCTTGGAATGGATTGGTTGACAGCACATCGAGTCGTCATTGATCGTGATTGGAAGTAGGTAGCTGCCTACACACCGGACGATGTTTGTTTTAAGTTTCAGGGGAAAAAACATGACATTTTACCCCAAGCCATGTACGATTCTCGATGGCACGGACAGTTAATGGGTTAGCTTGCGAACCTTACCTTAGAGGATGAGGTGAGACAGGAGTTAGGACTACCTCGGGTTGTGTGCGAGTGTGAGGACGTCTTTTCGGACGAATTACCTGCCCATAGGGATGTAGACTTCAACATTGAGTTACATCCTGGTACTTCTCCTATTTCTAATTTTATCCATCGATCTATTATCCAAATGATGTCCAGCTTTCCTTTCATATAGAAAGATTTGATTTGTAGAATTTTCTCTAACTAATTTTTTTTTTTCAGATACATAAAAGTCAATCTACCCAAGCATTTGTTGGACTCATTCCTAATATAAACTGGAAATAGTTATAGTAAATCGGGTCATT